CCTCTTCTTTCTGAAAAGCTGTTCAATTTGTGTTTTTGAATGCTGATACTGAATATTTATTGTACAACACAAAGTATTTACTTACTTTCAGTATCTTAAAATATGACAATTTAATGTGAATATTTCTCTACTGTATGTGACTATCCCTCTCAGGTTAATGGCCGACCTGATCACAAAGTGTACTTCTATGACGTTGACATGGACACTGTGACACACTTTGACTTCTTCAGTGGCAGACCGTCCAGTGGTATCTCACAGCCAGAAGAAAGTGAACGGTAACTTTTGCTTTTGACTTGTAGTCTGCCTGTGTAGACTTTTCCCCTCTGTGGTTGTTTTATACTGTACATGTCTGTGTTTTTCTTTCAGGCAGCAGTTTCAGGGGACAGAGCTCAGCAACCGCTGCCCTGTATCTCACTTCTGGGATGAGAGTGAACCTCGTCTTTTTGTTTGTGAGACAGTGCCGATCAGCTCTGAATCCTCATCAAGTAGTTTCTTGGATGTGGTAAACACTTCTTAACACTGAGACTAGTGCTACTCATGCTACTTTACAGCTGCTTTGAGAACCAAAAAGGCATAAATGTGTTGTTTTAAGCATTTATTAAAGACCAGTAGTTTGACAGTATGCTGCCTTCCTTCTGCTCAGATGGACGTGTCAGTAGTGACACTCTTCTGTACGCAGGAGCATGGGCTCCTCCTACAGGACTGCTACCCTAAACCTTCAGGCCTGCAGGCGCTCCTCGCTCTGGATGTGCCCTACTATTATTTCAGCTGCAAGGTGAGGACGGAGAACACGCTGTTCTGTTTGTGTATTTTCTCTTTAGTGTGTGTGTATGTGTGTGTGTGTGGGGGGGGTTCTCATAAAGCATGGGGTGTTTCTCTCTGGATAGTTGAATGATGAGTTTACTTAAACATATTCCTTGTGTTTTTGTTCGCACCAATCACTATTCTTATGTGAAACTCTGTTTGGTCTATCACACCCCAGCTATTATTTCGGAGGGGGGGTGTCTTTCGACCAGAAGTAAGTGTATGTCCCCTTCAGAAAGCTTCACTATTGTTGACCCCCAACTTCCAACAACTGTGATCGTGTCTCCCTTTTGCTGCATTTAAGAAAAAATCCAAGATCAGCAGCAAAAGTGCATCCCTGAAATATCTAGATGCCACTATGCTGTGTCCAGTTCCCATCGACCTTGTCTTGAGGAATAGATTTGTATGTCAAGCTTTGTTGTTGTTTGGTTTGCTGTATCTCTTATCCATTCCACAAAGCCCATGTTTTCTCCAGGATCTTGCATTTTACTTTTTTAGTTGTACAAATGATGATCGTACCTCACAACATGCTGTGTTCATTACTGGCTGTGAACCACATGTTTACTGATCTTAACACCATGTTTTCCTACCTGGTCGACCCCCTTCTCAGCCTGGTGAGAGAGATCCGGGGTTAGCAGAGATTTCAGCCACACAGCCATCAAAGGGGTCGGCCGCCCAGTTCCCACACATGGTGTCCAGGCGAGCTCTCAGAGACTTTGTGGGCCTGGAGAACTGTGAGAAAGCCACTCGTGACGCCATGCTCAACTTCAGCTTCTACTTGACCATCGGCGATATGGACGAAGCCTTCAAGTCTATCAAGCTCATCAAGAGGTAAGGCATCAATATGTGCACGCCATCAGGAGGAGACGTGCAGGATGGCATTCCTGCTGTGGGCACTTCCCCCTGTTTGATCACTGTCATCACCTCTTCCAGCAGTCTTTTCCTCAAGGGCCTTAATTCAAAGGCTAATCAAAGGCCACAGAGACAGCATTGTTGTTACAGCCTTGCCTCTTCTCAGAATGCTCTACAGTGGTTTGCAGTGGCAGAGCTGTAATTAATTGCTTTTGACTTACATTGAGAATGTGGCATTGTTGCCACTCGTCACCTTTCATTTCATTCAGCACCTTCGGCTGCTGAGGTTAACATGGAAGGAAACTACCACAATAGTTTTGTAACCTTAACTTTAATATGCTTTCAGTCTGACAACTGATCAAGGCAATGAACAACACTGCCTGTTTTATTATATTCCTTAAATGTTTGTCTTATTCCTAGGAAATATGAACAAAGCAGCCAATTGACAGGTCAGTGAAACAAATTCCACACCACTGCCATGGAAAGGCTAGTATATTTTAAATCCTGTATATGAGGAATTTAATTATATTTAAGACTAAGCTCACCAGTTTGTGTATCATACCATGATGCTATAATCAAATGAGAACCACCACAGCATAACTTTTGTCTGTTGTTTATGTAAGCACATGAAATTTAATTTTAAACATAGGACATGATTAAGGACTTTTTCTGTGTCTGTGTTCAGGGAAGGAACTCTTCAATGTGTATATATTTGACTGTTTCTGTTAGTGTGCGGGTGGGTTCTGAGGGGATGTACTTTTCTAAACACACTGTGACACACGCGCACACACACATTAGGTCCCCCTGCCAGTTTGGTCGAAAAGGAGTGTCCTTTCCATTCTTGCAAACATTGAATCAGGTCACTAAAAGGATGTGTGTGTCCTTTGTATCTGTGTGTGTGTGTGTGTGTGTGTGTGTGTGTCAGGGAAACATATATGTGATTTTAGCAAAGATCTGATATTATCTCTAGCAGAATACGTGATTCAGGGCACACGGTGTGAATACTGCCGTAGTGTTTGCTTTTGCACGTACAAACATTACCCAAATGGGAAAATAGCATATCCGCTGGCCAGATATTCCATAGAGTTTAATAGGCTTGATGACAGCTTTACTAAGTTCCTCATTGATGGCTATTTTTACTGCTGCTTCTTTTCTGTTTTTTGTTTTTAAAAGATTGGTATTGTGTTCGATTCCCGCATATCTCCTCCCACAGGAATATGCATTTTCTGCGGCGGTAAACTGTACCATCTGGGACTTGTCTCTGTGGTTGAGATCTTTGAATTGACAACGGTTCTCATACTTAAGACATAGGCTGGCTAACAATCCAGAAGTCAAGTTTATTTCAGCTAGGACATGTATTTAATTTCATATAATGAAATATCCGTTGTAGACACACATTTCAAACATGTATGTTAAAGTTTACCCAAATCCCGTTTGTGTGTGTGTGTGTGGACGGACAACAAAATCCACTACCATGCTCTGCTAATGCAGCCTGACAGTATATGCAATTTTATATCAGAAGAGGCTTTACAGCCCAGTTTCTGTGTATCAGTGGGGTTTTACTCAGCCTCGTCTCTCTGCCTCCCGAAGCAGCCTGCCAGATACAGGTTGGAATGTCTTTATTCAGTCCAGACTGTGCTACTTCCTCTCATTCATGTTGTCCTTGACTTTAGGTGACATGTTGCAGGGTTATCTACCCATTTTAATTCAGTCCCTCTCTTACAGTCTTTTTGCCACTGCATTTTCTTTTTAAAAGCAAAACTCCACCGTTCCATCAGGAACAAAAACACCCGAGGAAGTGTTCAGGGGTGAAGCAGAGACTGATGAATGATGTTGGAGTCACCCTCATTGCTCTCAGTTTATGCCATTCACTGCATGAAACCATTACAGTTCTTCTCCACTGTTAGTCTGTCATTCTTTAAAGACACTACCCTCATTTCCTGAAGGAAACATTAGAATATGAATTCTACAAAATGTAGACATTTCTATTTTTCTTCGCAGAATAGTGAAGATACAGTGTGTTTATATCACCTTTCACCCAGCAGGTTTGAGTCAGTTTCCTTAAAATCATGGCAGTGTTGAAATTTAAAATTATTCGACCAGTGTACTTACTGATAATTAATCTAGATAAGACTTTTTAGAGTATTAGTATTTTGCTGCATTGTTGAGACGGAATTGTTCGTAAATGTAAATATATCACGTTTAACATAGTTTCTTTAGAACGGGGTCGCGATGGAACAATGGATAAGACTATGCCTTTGGTCGATACCCCACTGTGACCCATCCACCAATGTGTCCCTGAGCAAGACACTTTAACCCCTAGTTGCTCCAGAGGTGTGCGACCTCTGACATGTATAGCAATTGTAAGTTGCTTTGGTCAGCTAAATGAATAAATGTAATGTAGGTTAAATAGCTGTAGCCAGTGGTGGAATGTAACTTACTTTTAGTATTTTTGTTTTGTGTGCTCATGGAAAGTCGACTTTTTAGAGACACGTTTTTCTCACAGGACATAGTCGCTACAAACATATGACGATCTTAAAGATTTTGATGCTTCGCTGTAGATGTAAACTACCCAACAGTATAAAAAATAGTAACATCTGCAGTAGTAAATTGCAAAATACACATTAATGCAGCAGTGATACTAATCCAAAAACATCATGTATAATAGTAAAACGCTATATTTGTTTTGCCTACTGAGTACTTTGATGATAAAAACTTATATAATTTTACTAAAGTAAGCTTTTGAATGCCAGACCTCACTTGTAGTGAAATATTTTCACAGTGTGGTTATTTCTGCTTTTATAGTAAGTAAAGGATCTGAATACTTTTTCCACAACATGTTGTAGCACACAAAACCTAAACCAATATACATTATGTGTTGTACTTTTTCCTCACACTCTTAGCTGCTCTATAGTGTTTGTTGTAAATAATAGCTAATATAACAGTCCATATGGACTCCTAACAAAATTTGAGGGTTAAGCATAGAGGTTCATTCTTGACCTCCATGCTTACTTACTACTGTAACTTTTTCTTGGGCTTTCAACCATATCTCACAGCCCTCTTCGTTGAAGATATATGTCCACCTGTTATCATCACTTAGTACTTAGTAGGTCACCTGAAAATTCCACTTTCTGAAGTATGCCTTCATATAGAACCCAGAGTTTAGAATATTGCAGACACCTCTAGAAAGACTGCTGCTAAATGCTAAACTTTACCCCAATGCTTCCAAATACATGTTATATTTTATGTAACATTTAAAAATGTGTTAAATGAAGTTCTGTGTTGTCCATTTGTCAGGTGTGGTGTTGGACACCAAAACAACAGCAACAACAAAAACCACTGAGTTTGGATGTTTACCTACAAATTTATTGAATTTATATGATATATTATTATTTTAATGAGCCCCTATGATAGCCTGGAGTTCTTTGCAGAAGTATAATATGGTCACAATAATACTACTAACAATAGCACTATTCTTTATACAACTATATTATATTAATTTAAGTATACATTATGTACCACAAGCGTGCAGAGTTTCATATGGAAAGCATAAAAAATGAACTAGTATTGAAATGTTTATGTCATATAAAAAATGCTGTTTATCGCCAAAACCTTTGTTACTAATAATTTACCAAATACTGCTTAAAAATTCCAAATCAATTCACATACATGAATTGGCAGGGGATATTTCTTTTTTCAAAAGGGAGAATATTCTTGTGGCAATGACTCAGAGAGTGAGAATATGCCCTTGTGTTTTTCAGTAGGTATGTGTTTATTTAATAAAAATATCACCTCTCATTGCCTGTAAAAATTCTCATTTGGGTCAGACCAATCAAAGCGTTCGCTGAGGTTGACTGACTCTTCAGCTTTTACCTTGTTAGTTTACCTACTTACTTGCAGCATATATCATTAATATTAATATGTATTAAAGATTGCAATAAGCATTAAATGGATGGAAAACAAATATGAGGTATTTTGGTATTACATTTTCAACATCAATTTCCAATTTATAATTATGCAGGAGGCGATTTAATAAGTGCACATATAACAAAATAGGTCAAGTTCCAGCTTGATCTTTTCATAAGCAGGATGGTTCATACAAGACGGTCCGAATTTATCTACTAATTAGCTCACCCAAGCATGAATAAATGAAACATCATACAGTATTGAACATGTTTGCAAGTTTAGGGCTGCTTTATATAGAAATTTAAGTTAAATCTGTGACTTTTGTGCACTAAGCTGCAAAATAATTCGTATATCTTTGTTTATGGTGGAACAGTTGTGAAATATAGAGTTTTACAGTCGCAGGTACATGTTAGTCCAGCTGTCCAGCGGTAAAGTCATTTTCTCTTGAGAGTCACTTTGGAGGCTGTTGGCTGGAGTAAAACATGAATACTGTAAGAGCATATCCTTGTTAGTTACCCTTTATTGGTTTGTTTCACGTGGCTCAACAAGGCGACTCCACATAGTCATTGTTGAGACGTGGGTGGAAAGGTGAGGCCAGTGAGCGACTGATGATTATAACTGGAGGTGCAAGGCAGTCATCACGGCGATGTAAAATGTTCCAGATGAGCATGGCCGCAGCCATCGTGGCCAGCAGGCAAGCAGCTATGTCCAAGTAGCAGGAGTAGGACAGGTGTGTGTAGGGCCCGATCCGGTAGAAGGTCACAAGTCCAATCACCAGCACAAAACCTGTAAGAGAGCACAAGGCTTCAATCAGTGGAAACGCACCGCCGACCCTCCAGTTTCCAGCCAAGTCCTGAGACTGAGCTACTGCTGACCCAAGCAGTATCATCAGCATGCTCACAACGACAATGGCATCACATGTTGATTTTAAGCAGGTGGTGTTCTATCATGTTCACAATGTTCGATTAGATATTTGGTCACAAACCAAAGTATTGGACGCATTAAAATTTTGACTTGATGGTGGCACTAGATGAAATGTTAAGGGGTCACCAAAGTTATTGTAATTCACCTTGACATGACTGCAATTTCATGGTAATCCATCCAATAGTTGTTGTTTAGAAATTTCACTTAAAAACAAAAAAAATGTTAACCTGATGGTGGTGGGAGATGAAAGTCAGTGGTTTACCATGATCAGTAGGATTCATCATCTGGGGATCATGAGTGTCTGTACAAATCCATCTAATAGTTGTTAAGATAGATATTTTTGGGCCTAAAGTGTCCGAGTGGCTTTTTGAAATCTTACATGCTCACATTAAGGCATCTATCCCCGTACCCTTGTATTTCACAGTTCAGAGGACGCTCTGTGTGGGGCCTTTGAAATTGGAAATCTGTTTCCTCCTTGGAACTTAGAACTTTTAAGATCTCAAGATCAAAGTTCTCAATAGTGTAAAAATATCAGAGCATGAATATAGGCTCGGAAAAGCCTTTGAGATGTTTTATCTCCTGATTTCTTTGATTCACAGTAGTTTAACTCACACAATGAGGGACTCCTTTTGCATGCGAAGGTGGAAAGCCACAGTCTTCAATTCTGTGCCGTTTCTTTGATCTTTACTTTGTTTTATCGACATTATCTGAACTGGAAAGTCATTCAGTGTCTCCATAGACCCACACCCTTCCTTCATTCTTTACTATTAGAGGTGTGTATGAAAGCCCACATCAATCAATGCTATTTAAGTATCCCCCTGTTGAGCCCTCATTTACCACACTCAAATACGCCTATTCACATTAGTACATGTCTGAAAACTTGCCCCATCCACAGTAGCATAAATGCAGCAGCCAAAAATAATCACTGGAAATAGGGATGTTGGTGCTTAAGGATATGAATCAGTCCATTTCCTGAAGCAGTCAGTGGCACCAAGGGGGGAGTTCATTTATATTTCTTTCTCTACCTCTACAGTAAAATGGCTGTCATTGTTTTAAGTGAGGATGTGGATAATTGTGTCTGTGTATCATTGCATGTCTACAACCATGTGTACTCATAAGAACTGTTTGCCCGGTCTGTTCATGTTTAACCTGTCTGGCTCCTTGAAATGAATAATCTCCTGTCCGTGTTCCAGCCAGGGTGGGCTGTGTGAACCTCTTTTTTTTGGCACGGACTTATCTCTCAAACTTCCTTCCCCTTCTTCCTCTTTCCATCCTTCCTTCCTTCCTACCCTCCCCTCCACACCCTTAGCTTCGAGGTTAATATATTTGCTGGACATTTGACATGATCTGTCACAGACAAAATCTAAACAAGTCTTATCTTAAAGCCAGGTCTTGGATATTAATTAAGCTGGTTCTTCCTTCAAGTTAGTAAGTAAGTCTTTCTTGCTAAAACCTTCATCCCTCGTTACCAGGAATCACTTGAGTCACAGACTTCTGGGAAAAGTCTGACTCCTCCTTGCGTCAGATTTAACAGATCTGAATTGATCCATGAAGTTGTAATTCTTCAAAATCAATAGAAATGATAAACTGAGAGGGACATGACCTGCAGTCATGACTTTAGACGTGTTCGAGCTGCGTCCATTCAGAAAACACATTCCAGGGTTGTCTCCGGGGGTGAAATGACCAATATTGTGCTTTAAGCCAGGACCTGCCAACACTGCTGAGATATCACTGAATGGAACTGGATATTGTTATTCCACAGCCTGCTTGAGCATTTTGGCACGTCTGAAAATGAAAACATTCCTGAGAAAGAGGGTGATGGGTAAAAATATCTCCATTCATTCAGAACTGAAACCCATTCACTGACTCAGTGACCCAGAGGTCTACAGTAGGAATGGGTGATGGACTAGTGACTGATAAAAATTTGATGATGGAAAACTGTTATTTATGCATTTTTTCAGCCTTTCTTTTCAGATTATTAAAAATTCTTTGCTAATTAATTATTGTTGAATCTGACAATTATTTTCTCTATTATCATTTAAATAGTAAAAGTGCCTATTTAATTTCCTAAAGACTAAAATCATACTGCCTGTTTTGTCTGACCAACATGATGAAACCCTAAAAATATGTATATATTCAGTTTATTAGTAGACAAGACACAGCAAATCCTCAAATTAGAGAATCTGGCATTGTTGTAGCGTTGTGCCTCTCTAATGGATTACCATTAAATTTGACACAAAAAGTCTTGTTTCCCCCTAGGATGTGTAATAACTTTTCATCTAAAGCAATCATCAGGGCAAAACTTTTATTTGTCTAATGCTATGTTTTACTCTCAGAGAATCAACTGAAACGATTATTTTTGTATCAATTGATTTAGTTGAATAATTCACAAATCATTTCAGCTCTAGATTTAAAGTTAGTTCTTCCTCATCTTAGAGGGTAATTCTTCACCTTGTAAAAAAAAAACTACTATATACTAGATCGCCTGATATGGTTGAACGCCCTGGAATAAACTAGTAAACGGACGTTCAGTTGGGATTTTTTTTGTCAAACTATTCTTACTTGGGTATATAGGTTATTAAAATTCTCAAACGATAAGAAAGTTAAATATACAGAGAAACCAATTTGACAAGCATAGCAGCTTAGTGAAGACTTACCACATATTGCAGACTGTATATTGTATTTGTTAAATTCTTTTGATATATATTCTCCTGGGTCTTCTATTTTTGGTTGGGAACATCCTGTTTGCCAAGATACATGTCATCTTATTACTCAGCAGCTTTGTTGACCATATACGGGTAAGAGAGTAAAATTAGTAGACGCCATTTTTCCAGAAAGCAGTACTATTTTTAGATATCAGGGAAATAGGTATGCATGCCCACATTTGTGAATAGTCTTATAGATAGATCATCATCGACCACCTTATCAAAACAGCTATAAATGTCCACCACCCATGTTGGTGATAATGATTATGGGATGTGAAAACTGTTTATTTTGCCATTGTCTTTATTAATCGTTCTTTGTTGAGATGAGTTCCTGGTCACGGGTTTGGCTGGTGGTGTTGTCTAATATTGGAAAACCCTGTAATGTTGGGTGTGTCTCAATCCTCTGACCAAGGTCTTAAGATAAAAGTCCTCATCCCTGCTGCATTGCGTGCCGAAGCCTCTAACGATAAAGAGGAGGTTCTTTATTTTCCGCTGCTCTTGGACATTTTGTAAACATAGACATAAAAGCTAGGCCGGCTTATCTAGACAGAGAGGCTATTCCCACCCTGCTGTCGTATGTACCACAGGACATTTCTCTACCAAAGTATACATACTATGGACACAGAATCACAACACAGACACCATACACAAACCTGCATGTACATAATCCCCCTTACCCCCTGCCAGTGCACACACCAAACACACAGTCCCTGTCGAAACTGTCTTTCCTGTCCATTCCCCCCTCCCCTCTTTTTCCTTCTTCAGCTTGGGGCTTTGCATAACAGGTAGTCACAGACATTTCCTCGTCCTGAGCAGGGATATCCTGGCGCCCGACAGTCGCTCCCTGGCTCACTGTAGCTCTGGCCCATAGATTCTGGACTAGGACTAAATTTAGATCCACAGCAGACCCCCTTCATGCTGCTCTACCACAATGATACCAACCGGCTGAGCAACTACTGCAACACTACACACTTCCTCAGCTTGGACAGGCCATACCAGCCAACTCTTAATGTGGCACTGTGGGATGGATGGATGGTGCTTGTTGTGGAGGAGGGGGGTTGTTACCATGACTGCACTAAGTTACGTCCCATGCTAATTAATCCCTTTTATCTGGTTTCCTAGTTTCCCCTATTTTCTTCTTTCTTAGTCTGGCTGGGCTGTTGTTTTATTTGGTTTGTTTACACTTTTATATCTTAACACCAAAATCAGAAACACTGTGGTTTCAGCAAATCACGTTTAAGTGAAGTAGAAATAAAATGATGATTGATCATCAGTAGTAAATTAACATAACATTAACATTTACCTTGGATTTGGACTTACATTGGGCAAAAAATATTGTCTAGCAGGCATTTTCAAAAAGTTTACTAAATATTTTTCACAGATTTAACTTAAATTTCTATATAAAGCAGCCCTAAATATTTTTACTAAATATAATAAGTAAACTCACGTGTGCTGCCCTTTTCTTTTGTCTGAATGTTCCTGCAGTATTTGCCCTCAGAGGCTGATTTTCAGAGAAGAGTCAGCCTGTCTAGCCTCTTTGTTATTATACCAGAAAGCATGAGAACTTTGCTTTGCGGCGTCTGGATTTCTTTCTTACTGTGTCAGAATGATATCATGTGTTTATTGGATTTAAGGAGATTTTCATCAGAGAGACGCTTCACTGAGACTTGTCTTTCTGCTGATGCAAACAAACAAGTTGTAGAAATGCTTGTACTCACTGGCTAGCTGGAAGAGTGCAGCAATGGCCTCCTCCCACCACTGGGATTCCTGTGTGATGAAGGGTAGTTCCATCAGGCCTAGAAGGAAGATCAGCTGACCGGCAGTCAGGGCCACCGTCGCCATCAGGTTACATGCCCGCATCATGTCAAACTGCACTTGAGGGACCACAAGAAGAGCGGTGTCATTTCCTGCACTGTGATGTTAATGCAATAATTGGATATTCATGGCAAGTTAGGTTGAATCTAAATCTGATATGTCTGAATGTTGTAGTGCAACACAGAACTTATGTGGTATACATTAGTAGCGCGGTGACATTGACATCAGAATGAGAAATACTTGACTGACGTGATTACAGTATTATCAAGAATGGTGAGGCGTGTCTAACATTAGTTGGCAGCTCTGCCCATTGTGCCCCATTAAGTTGGCTGGTGGACCTTTTCCCAGACTTGTTCTTGAATGAAAATTTCTCAATGGAACCTTGTTTGGTAAAGCACATAACAAAACTCATTCAGATCAGTTTTATACACAGATCATGTCAGCAACATGATTGCCCAACAAAAATATGTATTTGGCTTTTAAAGAATTACATACTATTAATTATTGGCTGTCTGCCACTGTACAATAATATGTCAGACTGCTATTGACCAAAAGGAAAGCACTTAGATTTTTTTTAGGATGTAGTACACAACAGGTTGATCTGTTGCTGTTTTTAATGCAGTGAGTGTTTTGGTCATAAGCTTTGATATATAGTTAATCAGCTCTGGACCCCAATCCGACGCCCCAGAAAATAGAATTTACTTCTACAACCTGACACTGGTCACAAAAAGTCGTGGTGACGCAATGGATAAGACACATACTTTGGTGTGAGAGACCCGTGTTCAATTCCCCACTGTGATACATCTATCAATGTGTCCCTGAGCAAGACACTTAACCCCTAGTTGCTCCAGAGGCGTGCGACCTCTGACATGTATAGCAATTGTAAGTCGCTTTGGATAAAAGCGTCAGCTAAATGAATAAATGTAGAAAGTACTGTGTTTGTTGTTAAGTATTACATCTTGGACATACTAATCAATCCGTTAACCAGTCTGACACTCTGAAGTTCTCTAATATAGTTTTCTTTTTAAATAACAGACATAAATAACTTTTGTTGCACTTAAAAACAAAACTAGTATAAAATCTTACATTTGACAGTGCTGCGAGATTCTTGGGAGCCTGCATACTCAGATCCCCATCCCAGGTTTTCACACTGCCTCTGTGTCCCCTGCCCCCTTCTCCCAGCTTGGAGATCATCGCGGCCCCTTTCCCCACCAGTGGGGCACATCCTCCACAGTCCCACGCTCCGCTTGCGTCCGTCCTCCAGGGCCTGCAGGACCCAGCTTGGGGTGAAGGCTGCAACATTGTTTAAGACTAGGGACAGCAGGGCTACCGCCACCGCCGCCGCCACTAGCCTCTGCACGGCCATGCGACGCCTGATGCCCGCCACTTCTCCCCCTCCCTCGTGTCCCTCCTCTGTCCCCTGTTCCTCCTCAGTGTCCTGCCCGCTCCCCTGCCTTTCCTCTGGGGCAGTAGCACCAGCAGTGCTCTGGGCCCCCTGGCTCCTCTCCTCCTCCTCCTCCTCCTCCTCCAGCTGTCCACACAGAGGTGGAATTGGCAAGAGTGTTGTCTTGAGGCTTAGCTAAAGAACATCTCCATTCATCCTCATTCAGGAGTTTGTTGTCATTGCAGCAGATCCTCAGCCCTCCTCCTCAGACAGCACTGCGGGTACGTGGGGGTTAATCCAACTGGCACCTAGGTCCATTCCACTGGCTTCAGCTGGCTACAGCTTGACTCTTGGATCTCGCTCCTTTCTTGATTTTCTCCTTTCCCTTTCTTCAATGCTTTGCCTATTGCACTGGTCTAACTTCTGTGTGTGCAGCTGGCTTCTTTGAGTAGGCAGTGGATTGTTTTTCTTCTTCCTTTTCGTCTTGTTTCTTCTCTTACTTCATATTTCTTTCAGAAGAGTACGCAAATAAGCATAGGTTCTCAGGATAGTGTTGCTCTTAGATGGTTCGCCAGTGGCTTTTCTGAGGTTTACCGAGGCTGTTTCTTAACTAGAAGAGACCCCACTGACTGAAGAATTCCTTTAACCCACCTCCCTTTGCTTCTTTCTCTCTCCCTCCCTCGCTCACTGTTTCTCTGCAAATCCTTGAGGTCAGAGTTGAAATGTGGGGGAGTTGCTGTTCATCATAGTCCCGAGACATCAGTTTGAAACTGCAGCAAGCTTTAAACAGACGGCTCCCTCCTTCATGATCACTTTAAATGTGTGTGTGTTTGTCAGTGGGTTTGTGTGAGAGAATGTCCAAAAGACTCCCTCTTAGACGTCACGGTTGTGTATTCTTTTGTCTGGAGCCCAGGGGGCGTTCGCTAAAGTCCTCTCTCTCATGTGCAACAAACATATTGGCCGCCACAGTCAGCCAGCAACAGGATGTGTTTCCTGAGAGGAAAAGAGGATGGGATGAGGGGCCAAATGTAGACCTGTTCCTTCTCTTGTCCTTCCTTTTCTGGCTCTCTAGATCTTGCCGCTCTCTGTGCAGCAAGCTCTATTTTTCCTCAGCATTTTAAAGTATCTACATTTTTGTCGGAGTCGGTTTTCGGTGACCATATAGAGCAAGATTTTGGCTGACAGTTACAACTTCTTTTTCTTCACTTGGCCTCCATTCCCCCTCTTACAGCAGGGCCCCTAACGATTTGGGGTATTTCCTGTTGCCTAACTTTAATAAACAGCCCACATCTGTATCAGCTAAAGCAAGGAGGAGGGAGGGGACACATATAGAGACCAGATGGCTGCGGAATCTTAAATTTGGATTTGAAGCAAAAGAAAAGGGTGGTAGAGGGGTTGATTTACGTCAGCAAGGTAAAAGAAAAAAAGGAAAGACTGAGATAGAAAAGCACGCCTCTCTAAAGTCCTGCACACATTCTTGTATGGCTATATCAGCTATATGGCTGTATCAGTGTTTGTGTGCACAAGGTCTTTTGTGAACATTTCTTATAATCGTGATAAATGTTGAAATAATACTAAACTACAAGAGGTTTGGTCTGTAATAACTGTGGGAATTTACATATTTGGGTCAGGTTTGGGTATAAAATATAAACCTAAACTAAACTGTAAATAATTGTACTGTAACTGTCAATTATTACTGTTGAATAATAAAATACCAATGCAGTGAGCTACACGTTACCCTTGCAAACAAGCCATTTCTCTTTTCTTTGTAGTAAAGCGGTATGGGAAAACATGGCACGGATGTGTGTGAAAACCCGCCGGCTGGATGTGGCACGTGTGTGCCTTGGGAATATGGGAAATGCCAGGGCAGCAAAAGCACTGAAGGAGGCGGAGTCTGAGCCTGAGCCAGAAGCCCAAGTTGCAATGTTGGCCATTCAGCTGGGCATGCTGGTAAGAAATTCAAATAAAACAGTGTAAATGACCGATAAGACAAACGTCACTCACCATTAGGATAATAAGAAATGTTTGTTCCTCTGTTTTTGCCTCCCCCTTTTACGTTACAGATTATAAACTTCAAAATCTGATAATTGGATATAAGAAGTGTTTATTTAGTGACATAGTATTATTTGTTTTATTCATCATTCAGACAAAAAAACAAGTACAGTACAAGATATACAGTGTAATAGTGAAAATACAAGATTATAAAAACAGAAAGGCCATCCCCTCGCTTAAGATCATATTCTTACAGAGGATATTTTTATCTGCTCTTCATAAATATCCCTAAAACCGTAGTCCAGTGTAAGGCCACATCCTTTGGCTACAAATAACACTTTTATGTCCAAGCATTGCACCACACAAAGACCTACGGGACTTTCTGGACCAAAAGCATTTATCAGTCCTTCATCTTTTCCTCTCTTCCAATAGGAAGATGCCGAAAAGTTGTACAAGTGCTGTCAACGCTATGACCTGCTAAACAATTTCTACCAGGCTTCTGGCCAATGGCAACAAGCTTTGGAAACAGCAGAGAGCCACGATCGCATCCACCTGCGCACTACTTACTACAATTATGCCAAATACCTGGAGTCCATGGGCGACAAGACCTTGGCCCTCGCATAGTAAGACAGAATCTGTTGTGGTTTTATGTCAATTCATTTAGTACTTGTGACTTACTGTTTATGGGCAAATTTACCATGGAAATAAAGTGTCATTGCCTGCCATTTTGTTACAGTTATGAGAATTCAGACACGCACAGGGTTGAAGTGCCCAGGATGCTCCAGGATGACACATCATCTCTAGAGATCTACGTTAACAAAATGAAAGACAAGTAAGTCCAGAGTTTTATCTTTACAGGAGAATGTTTGCCATCTAAAGAGGATATAACATGAATCTCCTGCTGTGGGCACACACTAAGTTAAATTTAAAAATCTGTCCTATCATCTTTTCCATACAGGAACATCTATAAGTGGTGGGCCCAGTACCTGGAGAGCCAGTCAGACATGGATTCAGCGCTGCGGTTCTATGAATGTGCCCAGGATTACCTCTCCCTGGTTCGAGTCCACTGCTACATGGGAAACATTCAGAAGGTATTATGGGTGTCATGTAACATTTATGATATATTTTATTGAAATTAATTTTGAGGACATGGGTATTGCACATGAGAAATTACCTTTCTTTCAGATAAATGTAGATAGCTTTGTGATTGATTAGTAATGATATTGATATGGTGAGTTGAGCGTGGTCTTCTTTTGCTTTACCTTTAAGTACAGAACATAAATATGATCATGTATTTATGTATTAAACTAGGCGTCTGAGATAGCCAATGACACAGGTGACAGGGCAGCGTCATACCACCTGGCCAGGCACTACGAGGGCCATGATGATATCAAACAGGCCGTCCACTTCTACACACGAGCCCAGGCCTACAACAACGCCATACGACTTTGTAAGGTAAAGTACTCCGCTGTGTACTTCTCTGCTCATTCTTAGTTAGAAATCTGTGTGAATACCCAACATACAGGTATTTATGAATTAATAAACATTAATCAGTGTTTGACTTGTGCATGTTGTGTCTAAACAGGAGAATGGTCTGGATGACCAGCTGATGAACCTGGCTCTGCTCAGTAACCCAGAGGACATGATGGAGGCCGCCTGTTACTATGAGGAGAAAGGCGCCCATATGGACCGAGCTGTCGCACTCTACCACAAGGTCAACTCAAAAATGTTTTCATTTTCTGAAAGGCTATGTTCAGATTGATGCATTCTTAGTCATTCCACAAGAGGGCGCTATTACACCATATAGCTAAACTGAATAATGGTTGGAGGTGAAAAAAGTGAAGGGAAATTTTTGTTTCAGCAGTTATATTGTTGATTTCTCCACTTTAGGCTGGTTACGTCTCCAAAGCCCTGGAGTTGGCCTTTGCCACCGAACAGTTCTCTGCGCTTCAATTGATTTCGGAGGATCTGAACGAGAGCTCTGACCCCACCCTCCTAGCACGCTGCTCCGACTTCTTCATCACACACTCCCAGTATGACAAGGCTGTGGAGTTACTGGTAGCAGCCAAGAAGGTATCCGTTTGTGACACATTTGCATATCAGTTCATATGTGCGTGCTTATGTGTGTGCGTCTTTTCATTTGTACATGAACAAAGTATCATCAAGCACTGGAGTTGTGTGTGACCCAGAACTTGACCATCACAGAGGAGCTGGCAGAGAGAATGACTGTAACTGATTCAAAAGACTTGTCTGAAGAGTCCCGAAAGGAGGTGCTGGAGAGGATAGCTGACTGCTGCATGCGTCAGGGCAATTACCACCTGGCCACCAAGAAATACACACAGGCTGGCAACAAGCCCAAGGTAATACTGTGGTGTGTATTAAACACTACATGCTTTCATTGCAAGCTTAAAGCGTTTTGCAAGCATCTGGATAAGAGAACATGGGATTACAGTACTGATTCTGGTCTGTAAGCCTGATGTCACGCAATACCTACATACAGTACATCCAAGGAAGGTTAAAATCAACTGGACTTGGTTGATATTTCTCCTCTCATCCAAGAGGCTTCTTCATTCTGACTGGTAGGGAATCCAAGCCAATTAACCTCTCTGGGGTCATTATCAAGGTGATGGATACCGCTTTGTTTGTGCTCCTGATTTTAACATTCCTTGGATAACTATGACCTCAATGAAGAATATGCACAGATAAAAACTTACATATACAAATACATGCATATGCAAGTTAAAATATGACCGTATTAAACCTTAACTTTTTTTTCTTTTTTACACAGGCCATGAGGGCACTCCTCAAGTCAGGCGACACAGAGAAAATAGTATTTTTTGCCAATGTTTCTCGTCAGAAGGAGCTTTTTATCATGGCTGCCAACTACCTCCAGTCTCTGGACTGGCGAAAAAATCCAGACATCTTGAAGACGATCATTGGTTTCTACACTAAAGGCAGGGCACCGGACCTGCTTGCTGGCTTCTATGAAGCCTGTGCTCAGGTAGAGCGATACTCAATACAAAATATCCATTTCATTATTTTTATTATAGGTACTTGTCTAGTTATGAATTGACACTTGGCTTTTTGGAAGAAGTTAAATTTAGGGCAGTGATCTTAAACAACAAGCATGTTCTATTGTAGAAATGTAGCTCATCATGTTTTAGAGGATAGTATAGTGAGATTTTGTGGAATATAATTTATTTAAAAATACACATTATTTTGAAATAGTCAAGTTTCTTCTTGTTGACCATTGTTAAGGTGGAGATTGATGATTACCAGAACTATGAAAAGGCTCTAGATGCTTTGACTGAGGCTTTCAAGTGTCTCTCAAAAGCAAAGGATTCTTCCACTGGACAACAGGAAGTAAGACTGGCTGACATGCAGCATAAAATCACCCTAATCAAGAAGTTTGTCCACGCGCGCAGGTAAGAATATAACTCATATTCGTTCTATTTTATATATTAATAAGACTTTTCCCCCCCTTTTGAAACAAACATTTTTTTGTCTGGGGTTTTGTTATTGTCTGGCTGTGATCTTCATTTGTCCTTTGTCTGCAGGTTGTATGCGGAGGATCCTGGTGAGGCGATACAGTTATGTGAAGCCTTGCTGGAGGAGCCAGAGTTGGACCCTGCTGTCAGGATTGGCGATGCATTTGGTTTCCTGGTGGAGCACCACTGTCAGCAAGGCAACTTCCAAGTGGTGACTATCATTTTTTTTTCTAGCTGTTTAAGCAGGTGAAATAAGAAGGAAACATCTGCATCCTGTCAAAGAAAGCGTTAAATGTCAAATCATCTTTATAGTAATTTAATGGCTCAAGATTTATACCTCTAAACTCTAAAACTTCCT